AGATAGATGATAGATTAGAGAGAGAGATTAGAGAGAGGGAGATTAGAGATAGATGGATAATAGGCAGATAATAGATAGATTAGAGAGGGATTAGAGAAATGATTAGAGATGATAGATAGATAGATAGATAGATAGATAGATAGATAGATAGATGATGATTATAGAGATAGATTGATAGATTGATATAGATTAGAAAGATTATAGATATAGTTAAGAGAGATAGATATGATAGATGATTATAGAGATAGATAGATAGATAGATAGATAGATAGATAGATAGATAGATAGATAGATAGATAGATAGATAGATAGAGATGGATGGATGGATGGATGGATGGATGGATGGATGGATGATAGGTAAAGAGAGAGAGAGAGAGAGATGCATGGACTTCAAATCTCACAATTCCCCAGGCAGCCATGCTCTCTGAGAATATCTAGGGGAAAATACTATACAGGTAGTCCTCAACTTACAAAAGTTCAGTTAGTGACTTACAACCGTTTTCCAGACATAGGATGGTTGCAGTATCCCCATGGTCAGGTGAATAAAATTCGGATGTTTGACAACTCATTCACATTTATGATGGTCCCAAACCCCAGGGTCACGTGATCCCTTCTGGCGACTTTCTGATGAACCAAGTCAAAGGGGAAGACAGATCCACTCAGCAACCATGCCATTAACTTAAACAAATGCCATGATTCACTTCACAATTGTGCCATAAATGGTCATATAAGGAGGCAATATTCACTTAACAGACGTCTCACTAAGCAACAGAAATGTTGGGCATCACCTTCACCTTCTGGAGGCATCCAAAATCTGAAATGAATCGGTTCCATTGTCAATGAAATTTGATGTTCTTATTAAAAAATGTTTCAAGAAAAAGCGGTGGGATTCTACTGGTTTGGATTGGAACTATAGAACCGGTTGTTATGATTCTGCCAAAGAACCGGCAAATCGTGCCCTTGGCTGGCCCAGATCCTCCCCTCCCTGCCCAATCAGTCCTTGTCACGCATGCCCAACATTGCTGACTGCGTTCTCTCCCACCCAGTCACTCCTTAAGATATTTCTTTTTCTCCCCCCCCAACGATCAGCTGTTCTGATGATCAGCTGTGCCAGGATCCCCCTCGCTGTCTTATTGCTTCACCCAGGAGGCTTCCCTAAGACCCAGGAGGCAAAAAGGGGCGCTAGGGAGGTGCTGAGAAGAAGAAGAAGGAGAAGGAGAAGGAGAAGGAGAAGGAGAAGAAGAAGAAGAAGAAGAAGAAGAAGAAGAAGAAGAAGAAGAAG